ATTTTGTTAAGAATTGTAATATGGATGGCAAGATAATGTAGATATTTAAAAAATATTTTTTTGTACTCAAACCGCTCATTTAATCAAAATTCTACAATAGGCCCAAACGCTTCGAAATGGTATCACCTCTCAAATAAAAAAAATAATCAAAATCGATCAATACATATTCGAGTTATATACAAAATTCAAAAAATTTTCACGAACTTTGAGGCCATCTAGTGGACAAACGAAGCAATTTCGCGTATAGGTGAATTAGCCTAAATCTGCCTATTTTGAGTCCACGAATTTGTGGCTTTCCATTGTACACGTTATTCTGGGACACCCTGTATCTATATATCTATAAAAATCCCGTCAAACTCTGGCTGAGGGCCAGGAAAGGTACAGCCTCCCGAGTTTTACCAAACTATGAACTCTATGTTTCTAAACGCATCAAATACAGCAAAAGTCGCCTTACTACTACTTTTTCAAAGTGTTGACCACAATGAAAAAAGTAAAATTACAATATGTTTCAATATCATAAGTTAAATTTATTTCAATTTTTTTTAATATTTTTTAATTGCATTAATTTTTGTATGTATGAGTGGTATAAAACCTTTTTTCTTGGGATTAGTGTTAAATATTTTTTATTTGGATTCAAGTTTTTAACTTTTATTAAAACATTTGTAAAACTTTTAGTGGACTTTTTTGGTAAGCAATTATTATTTTTCTCTTGTGAAGAATTATTATTTGGTGTTAAATTTTCCGTTGAATTTGATGGTAGAAAAATATTATTTACACTTCCGTTACTGTGTTCTAATAAATTAATATTAATTAACGCTTCATTTTCGGATTGATTTATAGTTCTTAAATTAGACTTAAATATATCGGGGACACCAAATTTAATTAGCCTAGTGAAGTTTGAATTTGAAAATTTTTTTTGAGAAAAATGTTCACCGCACAAATACATTCTTGTAGTAGAATTTTCTTTTAATGTTGTGTTCATAGCGCTAAACCACTTTTTTTTTTTCATTTTTCCAAATTTGTAAGAAAAGTAAAAAAATTACTTGTACGACCAACAAAATATTTGTTGCTGCAATGTGTATACATACATTTGTATTTAATAGTTATTTATTGTATAAGTGTTTTAAGTATCATTTTACCCACGTAAGAATTAATATTCTCAAGTGGATAAAATCCAATAAAAACACGAATGCAATACAACATTTTATCCATAATCACATCACAATCATATTTGTGGAGTCAGAATTATTGGAATTTAATAAAAAAGTATTCGCACGACTTGATATTTCTTACTAGTACTCAATGAAACGTGGTAGGTTTTGTTATATCTACTGGTTGCTATGGTACGTTGTTTATTATCAATTATTTAATAAACAGTTCTATCTGAATTTGGTAAAAATACAAGAAAGTAATTGTGTTCCTACCAATGTGAAGATTTACCATAAAAAAGTAGTACTACTCAGTGATGTACCACTGTCATTTTAGCATAAACCAACAGCACAATTTCTCTGAGGTGAGATTTTTTTGGAATTGAGGAAATAGGGAATTTTGCTTTATTTCTTGGTATTTTTAAGTCATTTTAAAAAGTATACTTAAATAACAACTAAATGAACTTTAAATGCAGCTGAGCACTATACTCTATTTGAATAACTTCTCTGTAGGGGAAACAAGGTCACTAGATTTACAAACAGAGGTATCTACTAGCTACTGTAGGAAGTTTTCTTTGTTACGCGTTGTGTTGCCTTCTGTTAACGGATTGTATTAACTTATCGGAATACCGAAGTCGTAATTGTTTAAGTAGTGACATCTGTTACAGAAAAGGCAAACGACGAAAACAAAGATGACCACCGGTCGCTGAATTACTAGTGGAAGTGGATCTTATTTGTGGAAGGGCGAAACGGGCGGTGACTATGAGACGCCTTCATTATAGCCATCTTTCTCTATCGCACGGATTTCTATGACTTACTTTATCGCTCTCACGTAATGATCGATGAACCATAGGGACTTTCCGAACCTGTATACTCTACGCCTGCAACTAAGGATCTGCTTGTACCGTTCAATATTGACCGGTAGGTTTGTTGTTTTTTGATAATAATAAACTTAATATTAATGAACTATTTAATAAATAATGTTAATAAGAAAGCGAGTTATTCAAAACCAAACTATTGCTACTTTAAATTAAATGTTATATATTTTATTGGAATATAGCACATACTCGATTAAATCAATTAACTTAAATTTTTTAATCATTGTCATCAAAAACAATTTGATAATTTACCTAGTTAGGATATTAATTACAAAAACTTATTGGTAAAGAAAAACTAAACAATAATAATGTCAGGTACATGTTTGGAAAATCATTGAAAAACTACGTACTTCAGTTATTTATAAGTTATAACGAGCGTTCAAATAAAAACGTGGTCAAGTTGGTTCTGAAAATTTGGACGTAGGGCGTAGCGTATAGCAAATGAACTTAAACGTCATCTGTCAAAGCGCTATATCGCCGCTATCAATTTGAATATTTTCGTTTTAAAAAGCGTTTAAAATGGTGTTTTCTCAAGAACAAAAAGTGTTTATCATAGAGTCCTACTTTAGAAATGGACGCAAGATTGATGGAATATGGAAGTATTCTATTGAGGAATGTTTCATAGAATTTCAAAATCAATTTCCCGGCGTTGTTGAGTACAAAATTTTTCAAAGTGCAGTTCAGCGTTGTGTTAATGTTTTTCGTGAAACGGGCAGTGTAACAAGAAAAGAAGGAAGCGGCCGACCTAAAAAGCGGACTGAAGAATTAAAAGAAAATGTCCAACAAATAATGGAAAATGCGCCAAGAACTTCTGTACGTGTTTTATCACAAATGGTGGGAGTATCAGTCGGTACCTGCCACACAGTGTTAAAAAAAGATTTGCGTTTGTTCTCCTATCGTTTAACTTGTCAGCAAGAACTTCATGAAGTTGATTTTCCGCGACGGGCTGTATTTTGTGAATGGTTTTTAAACAACTACGGTGAACTTCATAATATCACCTTTTTTTCTGATGAAGCCTGGTTTCATTTAAGTGGTTACGTAAACTCACAGAATATGAGAATGTGGTCTTCTGAAAAACCAGATAACTTTTTTGTCGAGGGCCCTCTACACGCTCAAAAAATTGGAGTTTGGTGTGCTCTCAATCGAAGGAGGATTTATGGACCTATTTTTTTTAATGGTACTCTTACTGCGCAAAGGTATAGAGAAGAAATTATCGCTCCTTTTGTTAACCAGCTGGAAGAAAACGAAATTACAAACTTTTACTTTCAACAAGATGGCGCAAGGGCACATACGGCAGGCGAGACGATGAATATGTTGAGGGAAGTTTTCCAAAATCGACTAATAAGTCTCAATGCTGAACATGAATTTCCACCGAGGTCATGTGATATTACGCCGTGTGATTTCTTTTTGTGGCCTTACCTTAAAAACACTATTTTTGAACTGCCTATTCCTGATTTAAACCATCTGCAGGCTCGACTTATAGACAAGATTCGTGAAATTAACAATACCCCGAGCATCTTAGAAAATGTCTTTAATTCTTTGAGGAACAGGTGTGAAAAGTGCTTGGAACAAGGAGGGGGACACTTTCAGCAGCTGCTTTAATTTATTGTTATAACAAGGAGGGGGACACTTTCCGCAGCTCCTTTAATTGTTTGTTATTGTTATCACGATTATTCTTTAAAATAAAGTTATTATAGTCATTAACGTTATTAAAACTGACAGCTGCTATACAGCTCGTTGAGAAATGAGGTTAAGTTGGTCGCTATAAGCTACTCCCTACGTCCAATGTGTCAGAACCAACTTCGACCACTTTTTTATTTGAACGCTCGTTATAATGTAGTTGTAGGCATAGAGTACAGTGTAGGAAAGTACCGATGGTCTATCAGAAGTTACGTGAGAGCGATAAAGTAAGCCATGTGATAGACAAGGATGGCTATAATGAAGGCGTCTAATAGTCAACGCCCATTTCGCCCTTCCACAAATAAGAAGTGGATCTTATTAACTTTATCGCTCTCACGTAACTTCAGATAGACCATCGGTGCTTTCCTACCCTGTATATACTTCGAGTGAGTGCGAGAGAGACGCAGTATACGGAGGCGTTCAAGAGCAGCCGAGAAACACGGCGCGCGCGCCTTATTAACAATAAAAAAACACGTCAACAGAATAATATATGCCGGCGTAACTCTTTGGATTTTTGTTAAGGGATGTTCAAAGATTATTTAAGAATTTTGGCAACACAAAAAATTGAAGTTTTTAATATAGTATTTATATTGACGTTGAAAATGGTTAAAATCGCGTTTTTTCGAATAAAAAATCGTTAATATCTCGAAAACGGTAGATTTTAGAGAAAAGTTGAATATGTACTCTTTTGTTCAGGATACCCTAAAAAGCCAAACATTTAGTTCGAGCAAAAAAATCGAAAATTACGAATTTGTTTAAAAAAAATTGTTTAAACAATTTTTGACCATTAGTAACGTCTGGCAACATGAGGATATTTTTTTATTTGTACTGGAACTGTTGTTTGCAAAAGAAAAAAAAAACGTTCGGTCATAAGAAACAATTGGTGGCATCGAGAACGCGTTGCTTAAAAACGCGAAATGATACGTAGATCCTTCAAGGTAAGTAATTGTCTCAGTCGCATTAAGCCGCATTTTTTCACATCCTGCCGGTGCGTGTCCTTTCCCGTTGTTTCTCGGAAGGCGGGTCCGGTACCAGGAATCGTGCCGGCACAAAAACCAGCGACTCTGTTACACATACATACATTTTTTTATCGGACAACGATTGTTCCACCTGAGCGCAGCCAAAATTTGCCGCGGAACCTTCCAATCTCCAAGGCTGCGCGTCAGAGGTTTTTGTCGCGCGCCAAGGATACTCTTTGGGCACCTCTCATTTATTTTGTCCAGCCAGCGTGACAGAAAGACCGTTTTGAATGTCCACACAACGACACGGACGTATAAATACCATCCCTTGGCCGTTTGCCGGCACAGCGCGAGACGCCACGCACGGAAAAGTCTGCTGAAAGGGCGCAATTATCTCGAAACGGACGGTCCGGTATAAAAAGGAGGCCGCACACGGTCTGCGTTTTATTCTGCGTTCCGTAGAACCCTCCTCTGGCTCGCCGTAGTGGGCGAGAGGCATCTTCACCGAGTCCGAGTGAGAGTGAAAGTGGACGAGGTTTTGATTCAGTTCCCATCCGGCGGAGAAAGTGATTTATCTCGAACATGGACATTCAGGAATTCAGGGAGTTCGGCAAGGCCGCCGTGGATTATATCGCGGACTACTTCCAGACCATCCGAGACAGGTAAGGGCTCTTTTTAGTCCAAGCATTCTGTCACGGATTAATGTTAAATTTGCAGAAATTATTACCTGGACAAAAAAAATATGACCGTATAGAAAATTAAATTTTAAATTGAGTTTCTTGTTCTTTAAACTCGATCCAATATGGCGAACATGGTTAAAAAAAATCGCAAAGTTGAAAAAAACGGTTTTTCTAAAATAACTAAAAAAATATAGCACGGATTGAAAAATTTTAAATGAGAAAGTTGTAGGTTTTAAAAAGATCTATCGACTGATTTTTTGAAAGTATCGATTGCTTTGTTACTTTTCGAGATATATCGAAAAAACCGTTAAAAATCTTCTCTTTTCTCTTCTTCTATAACTCGTTTACATTTACGTGCCCATATTTGCTATTTACTGCAAGCATAGCCCGCGGCAAGCCAAAAAAGTACATTTTTGAAAAATTTAAAAATATTAATTATTTTTCGAGATATATCGATTTTTTGAAAAAAAGGCGCTCTCGAAAATTGGCTAGATCTTCTCAGCGGATAGCCCTACAGTAACGATTTTCGGTTTATTTTCTTCGTAAAGAGTTATATTATCATGCTGTTAAAAAATGTTGACGATTTTATTAATTTTAAGGATCAAAAAATGACTTTGAATAAGTTGCACTTTTTTGGGTATGTTTTTTTCAAATTACTATTTCAATTTTTATTTTATGAAAATGACTTTTAAAGAAAGAAAACTAAACATTTACGGGTCTATTTTGCTTCTAAGGCGAAAATGCTATAATATTCGTGTTTAGCTACCCCAGATTAAGTACAAAAAAATAATAAAAATTGAAATAGTTATTTGAAAAAAACATACCCAAAAAAAGTGCAACTTTTTCAGTCATTTTTTGATCCTTAAAATTAATAAAATCGTCAACATTTTTTAACAGCATGATAATATAACTCTTTACGAAGAAAATAAACCGAAAATCGTTACTGTAGGGCTATCCGCTGAGAAGATCTAGCCAATTTTCGAGAGCGCCTTTTTTTCAAAAAATCGATATATCTCGAAAAATAATTAATATTTTTAAATTTTTCAAAAATGTACTTTTTTGGCTTGCCGCGGGCTATGCTTGCAGTAAATAGCAAATATGGGCACGTAAATGTAAACGAGTTATAGAAGAAGAGAAAAGAGAAGATTTTTAACGGTTTTTTCGATATATCTCGAAAAGTAACAAAGCAATCGATACTTTCAAAAAATCAGTCGATAGATCTTTTTAAAACCTACAACTTTCTCATTTAAAATTTTTCAATCCGTGCTATATTTTTTTAGTTATTTTAGAAAAACCGTTTTTTTCATCTTTGCGATTTTTTTTAACCAAGTTCGCCATATTGGATCGAGTTTAAAGAACAAGAAACTCATTTTAAAATTTAATTTTCTATACGGTCATATTTTTTTTGTCCAGGTAATAATTTCTGTAAGCATTTCTCTATAATGTTGACTATTTCCAAAACTTTGCCACGGGCATTCTCAGATATCCCAAATTTTACAACTACAAGGGAATTTCTCTTAGAACAAAGCCCCTATGCGATTCAGGCGTTTTTAACGTTGTTCTGTCACCAATTTCTGAAAATTAGTAACTTTTATTGAATAACGTGAAAATGCTGTATTTGTAATATTGATGATTCCGTGTATGCGGTTGTGACATTGGACCTGCCAATTAACTAGAGGTTGTTCGTTTATATGAGTTTTTTATATTTTTTTCAATTATTCTTTTTATAACTATGTAATGCTCGAATGTACAGGGTCCAGAAAAACTTGCAATTTCAAAGAAATATACATATAAAAAAATAATTGCCTGTTGCATTTCGAAAGTATAAAGCAAACTTGTCGCTTATTAGAATCATTTTTTTTATTACAGTGATATGCAGGGTGTCCCTAAAAGATTTTTACAACGCTCCACCAGATACAGTGCGACTCAACATAAGTCGATTTGACTATACTTGCCTTAGTCTAAAAATTGATAATGGAGTTACAAGGTGTCAAAGTTGAAAAAATAAATTTTCGCATTTAAACTGTCAAAACATTTTTGTGCCACTTTGGGATGGTAAAATCTTTTGCCCCAACTTTTCTGGATAAAAAAAATATACCATGCTAATATCTCTAAACCGTTTTCAACAAAAAGGCATTTCAGTTTATAAATGCATGAAAAATGTGTATATTAGCGAGAAATATGTCTCAAAAGAAAACAGTTCAATTACAATTTTAAATTTCGTTTATTTAACAATTTTACTGCAAACATACTTGACAGAGTAAAAAACATACTTTCTAAAAACAGTCTAGTCAATTTAACGCAATCTATAAACAACGCAACCAATCTAAAGACCTAAAAATCTAAAAAGTAGCTAATTATTATTGATCTTTCTTAAAAGATATATTTGAAAACAACTTTGTTGCGCATTTACAAATTTAAATGCCTTTTAGTTGAAAACGGTTGACTTTAGAGATATTAGCATGATATACCCTTTTCAAGCAGAGATATTGGGAGAAAGATTTTTCCAACCCAAAGTAATAATAGAATACACCGTGGCGCAAAAAAATGTTGGCTGTTTAAATGTGTCTTAATGGTTGCTTGTGTCGCCTTCTAGAAGATACAACGAAATCGTAGATAAATTCGAATTATTTTTTGTAAAATCCTTTTAGGGCCCCCTTGTATAAATGTCGCATATTTTCGTTTATTTCAGTATATACATCATTGTAATTAGAAAAAAGAGAAGAATAAAAATATCAATATATATAGGATGTATGTACTATTTAAAAAAAAATAAAAGTTTCATTCAATCTTCAGAATGCAACAGTCAATTGTTTAAAATGTATTTCTTTGAAATCGTAAAAAAGTTTCTTAAAACTTTGGTTTTTTCCTACATAGAAAAGTAAAAAAGGCAATGTTATGTGATGATATCACTACCATTTCCCTTTCGTCGTTATTTTTCTGTTTTAATTGTCTTGAAAAATATATGTATATGTATACAGGCCTGGAAAATCCACATAGTCCATCTGCCTTTACATGAGCGCGACAAAGTAAAGTAAAGAAATCCGTGCGATGGACAAGTATGGCTATAGTGAAGCCGTTTCATAATTTGAATAGTTACCGCCCGTTTCGGGTTAGAAGTGGGAGTGACTATTTAGATTATGAAACGTCTTCAATGTAACCATCCTTGTCTATCGCACGGATTTCTATGACTTACTTTATCGCTCTCACGTAACTGCCGATGTACTATGGGGACTTTCCGAACCTGTATAAGCTTTTTTTTATACCATTATGCTCATATACAGAACAATCCTAAATCAAAAATCAAAGATACGTTTTCGTATACTTCTATTTTTTGTCCTGAAAATTAATATAAAAGATGTAAATATCATGTCTTTTGATATAAGATTTCGATTAGAAAACTTTCGAGTTCTTGTAATATTTTAAACTTAGGGCATCAGGATATTAATTTGCACAACGTGTTACGCAAGGGGTTTTACTTCCCAAGTTTTTTTTCAAATTTTAAAATTATTTTGATACATTGCAAAAATTTTCCACATTCTGAAAGTTTTGTACGTCACATATTTGCAGAAATAAAATATATAATCTTTAATTTTGTTTTATTTCGTTGTATCTTTATAAAGTAATGATTATTTTCAATTCAAATCTGATTTTCTTTAATATAACAATAAGAAAAGTCATTAATACTCAGTTTGTTAGTTTAAATTTTCCTCCTTAAGTGATACGTCATCAGAAATTAGCTATATTGGATATCATTCTTCTTGTTTGTGTATCAAGATACCGGCAAGCAGTCTATTGAATTTGTGTCAAGCTAGTTTTTGTGTATAATTAGTTGTATTTTGCCTAAACTAAGAGAATTGTTCCCTAATGTTTTTAAATGTGACATAGAGACAAGCATCTAAATGTTGTTTTCTTATAAATATTACATATTAAGCTTACACATAACCTTCGTTCAATTTTTTTAGGTTCATCTTACTTTTGATTGAACCATTAAATTAATTCTTTTTAACAATTTCATAAGTTAGTACACTATAAAATAAATGGTTTCGAAGTAGTTGGAAGCATTAAAAAGGAGTTTATTTTAGGAAAAAAATTAAAAACTATCAAAAACATTGAAAAAACTTTTTTGGTATGCTGTCTATATTCCTATATTAAAAACACGTTTTTTTAAAAATTGTGTTGAAAGCTATTTAATACTATTAGCAAATAAAAGACCTTGAACTAAGATGTTTTTTTTTCTCTATAACAATAAAACGACTATAAAATAATACGTACTTATACTATTTGAAGAAACATCTAAAACACTTTAATAGCTTTTCGATAGTCAGTAATTTGTTTAATAAAAATATTGAAACATAGAAATAATGACGTGTGATTATTTTTCAAATGCTTACAAAATTTCCTTCAATACAAATTTTTTAATTTTCAATTAAATACAATCAATAGGACAGATTTTTTATTTTATCGATTTGATAATATTGATATAAGGAAACTCATAATGTTAAGTCAAGCATTGATTGAATAAAATGTTCTTCCGTTTATTTCGTATATAGTCCGTACCATATTTGTTGAGATTTGAGATAGAATTGCAAGAACACTTGCAAGTTTTCGTAACTGCAGAACATAGTATGCATTGCAAGCTGCTACTGCAAACGCCCCGCCGCCAATGTCTTTCTACCTCGCGTGTCGAATGCAGTTAATTTCAAGAAAGTAACGCAGGGGTCTTCTTGAAATTTTATCTCAATAAATATCTTACGAACTGTATCTTTTTTCTCTTTAATAATGTAAAGAACAACAATGACAATCATCCCCTGAAACTACCCCTTACGCAGCAAGTAGGATTTGAATAATGAATGAAACTGTATCTCCATAAATATCCATTTTCGGTTATATAAAAAGTGTAGTAATTTTTTTTAAAGAAAGTACGTCCCCAATAATAAATCCGATGTTTCCAATATGTTATTTTTTGTAGCATCTGCCTTTAAAATATACCACTCTGTTTAATTATGATTCAAGAAGTTATAACAACGGTTATATTTACGTTTTGAGAAAAGTGAGCGATATTAAATTATTATTGGTAGAATTTAAAATTTATTCGAGTGCAAATCTGTGTCTGCCAGTGTAAAAAATTTTGAAAGTTCTACAATTCAGTGGTTACAAACATAAAGAATGCCAATTTGCATGGGTTTCTTTTTATGTTCTGAAAGTCTGGGGTTTGTTTACAACTTTTAATTGCTTTGAATGTTAAAATATAGAACGTTATTTCAAAACGAGCAAAGTGAACTAAATAACCTAGAAGAAAAACTTAATATCGGCCAGTTCAAAGACAAGGCTATGGTAAATCCCCAGGTTGATTGTTTCTTACATAACTTTATGTTTTTGTATTCTATTCTCTCATTTCAACAGTTTTTCTTCAACAGGACGTTCGCATCGCGAAAATATCATATTTAGATTGAATTTGGTCTAACAAGTTTTTTGAAAATTATATTAAAAACCGCTCATAAAATATTAACTAACAAATATACTTTTTAAGATTCTATAAAATTTTAAAAGGTTTTTAGTGATGTTGCTCAAATTTAAAATTAAACTTCGCCACAATGTTTCGCAATGGAAATTAAAAAAAAATCTCTCGAGGAAAATATCCCTGCGATTTCGTGTTGTTAGAAACTAATAGGAACTGAATTTCCCAATAAAATAAGGAAAAATTGTACAAAGCTCCTAATTCAAAATATAAAAAGAAAGAAAAACATTATGTCCTCGTTGGAAAAGAAACAAAATAATCAGTATTGTTATTTATATGAGGATATTTATTTATTTTGCAATAATTTATAGAGATATTCACATAGCCTTGTCTATAGATTATAGTTGATTATTAATAATTTAATCAAATTCAAACATGCATACCATTTTTTCATGAATGCAAGTACATACCATTTTTAAATAATTTCTGAAAACACTTTTCCATTTTTACATTACTTTAAATACAGTGCTTTGGAAAAGTAACGAATAAATTCATTATTTTATAAATTGAGAAGTTTTCGAAAAAATCGTCTGGCACGTCGATTTTGTTTTTAAAAAAGGCACTTTTTGACATACGACCCATATTTGTGACGTCATCGTTGTTCGAGATATGACGTCATCGACAATTTTTTTAAATAGCAACCCCCAATTTTGACCATGCCATTTGAAAGAGCGTGTCATTCTACATACGCTTCGTCAAAAATCATGGTTGCCTGACAGTAGCCTTAGCGACCGAGAATGTTTTTTATTGCTATCGGATAAAAACTTGAAATCGTACTTTATTAAATAGTTTTTCTAGTTTTTTGAGTTATTTCTTTAGTTCTTATCTTTTGTTTGGCAAAAGCAGTGCGTTTGAAGTGTTTATTGAGTAGTAACTTTGTCATTTTATAAAAAAAATGGTTAAATTAACTGAACGAGAACGAATTGATATTCTTTGCATGATCGGATTTGGAGACAGGATGCGCACCTAAAAAGAAGTAGTTGATTTGATCAATGAAACTCATCCCGATCGACATCCCATTAGCCAAAGCATGGTAAGCAATATCAAGTCTAAATACCGTAACTTTGGACATGTTCGTGATCTTCCTAAATCTGGTCGACAGTCAAAATCAGTAGATGATGAGCTTAATGTTTTGTTGGTAATACAAGAAAATCATCACTCAACACTTAACCAATTGGCTTCTGATTTCAATATGGCAGCGTCCACAGTTCACAAAATTATGAAAAAAACAAAGTATCATCCTTATAAGGTATGCCTTGTTCATGAGTTATCTGAAGACGACTTTGATCGGCGAAATCAATTCTGCGAGCAAATGCGAGAGCTATGCAATAATGATTATAATTTCGTAAAAAACGTAATTTTTTCTGACGAGGCTACGTTTGTTTTGAACGTCCATGTCAATAGGCAAAACTCCTTTGCCTATTGCTCTTATACAAACTTGTAAATATAAAACTAAAATACTTTGGTTTGATAATGAGGTTTTTGATAAAATTAAGGACCGTGATAGAGCTTACCAATCATTTAAAAACTGTTCGGATAATGAAAAACAATATAAATGGGAAATCTTTAAGGTGTATAGAAATAGTGTTGTCAATCTTCTGAAGCGCAAAAAAGAACAATATTATTTCAACAAAATTGATATGTTTAAAAATGATACAAGGGAAATGTGGAAAACTTTGAAAAATTTAGTTAATGTAAATAGTCAAAATATGAATAGTAATATTTCATTTGGTGAGGGATTAGAAATTAGGGTACTAAAAAATGATGTAGAGATTGCAGAAAATTTTAATGGTTATTTTGTTGATAGTATTGGAGATATTACAAATAGTATTATCGCCAATAATGGAAACGGGTATGGTTTATATAATTATAATTTGTATCCAGCGTTTGATGAATTTAGGACAGTAACTATGTCAGAATTAAGTAAGATTATAAATAACTTGGATAATAGATACTCTGTGCATGATGTGATGAACCCCAAAATGTTAAAGGAAATATTTAAAGCAATTGGCCATGTTATACTTAACTTTATAAATACGTCGCTGCATACTGGGAGGATCCCGAAGTTACTGAAAGTCTCTACAATCATTCCAATACAAAAAATTGTTAATACAACTAAAGCTAATGAATTTCGACCGGTTAATACATTGCCATCAATTGAAAAAGTACTTGAATTAGTGGT